TGCTGCCACTTGCCTCTCCTTAGGCATGGGGACCACAGGGATTTGCCACATCTCGTTGTAGACATCCCTATCCTCGTGAAGGTCCCAAAGAATCTGCTCGCCAAGCCTCGCGGTGTAGGTCTTAGCTCCTTTCGAGCTCGTGTCCATGCCGGCCTTTTGCAACCGCCGCACGGAAATCAGGTTGGCAGCAAGGTTGGGCACCCAAAGCACGTTCTTGAGGCCCACCATCTTCCCATCAGCACCCTTGAACATGGCCTTGCCCATGCCTTTCACCTCTGCTCGCTGCCCCAAAGCCGATGTCACATGCTTCACCGGTGACGGCTCAAGTTCGGTGAGCAAGTCCGCACGAGGTGTCATGCTATAGGTAGCGCCGCTATCGATCACCCAGTAGTCCAGGGAGTGTAGGGTGACCTTCCCCACAGCTGCTGGCTCCTCAAAGCTTTCATCATTCTCTGGACCAGCCGGTGCTTGCGTGGACACGAAGAAGAATTGACCCGGGAAGCGATCGTCCCTCGACTCGCTCTCGTTGCCGGCACTCTTCATACTTGCAGCACCACCTCCGCGACCGCCACGGCCTCCACGGCCTCTTCCTCTCCCTCCTCCTGCTCCTCTACCCTCTTGGCCTTGAGCAGGAGTCCATCCATCAGGGAGTTTGTAGCAATCGCGCCACATGTGTCCGCTCTTGTGGCAAAAATGACACTCGCCGTCGAACCGTCCGCGACCGCGTCCGTTGTTCTTGTTGTCATTGCCGTATCCGCTACTCCCGCGGCCTCCGTTGAAGTTGCTGCCTCCAAACCTTCCTCCTCCTCGTCCTCTGCCCTTTCCACGGCCATATCCACGGCCGATGCTTGCTGCCCCGGCGCCATCCGCACTCGCCAACTCACGGCGACGGAAATCCTCTTGAAGGATCGCTCGCTTCACGTCTTCGAGCGAGAGGTGGGGCAAGTCACGATTGAGGTTGATGATGAGAGAGGACCATGACTCTGGGAGTAAGGCCAGCAACTTGGTCTTCTTTTGGAGCTCACTGTAGTTCAAATCAGCTCCCTCAAGCCGCGTCAACAAGTCGAAGAATTTCTGCACCCCTTCTTCAACCGCTTCGTCTTCTTCAATTCGTAGTGCCGCCATTTGCCGTTCCAACACCACCGCTACCGCCGCTGTTGCAGGAGCATGTACACCCTTGAGAGCAGCCCATGCCTTTGGTCCCTTCTCTGGTTCACGCTGGAATGGTTTGATGTGACGGATCTGGCTGCTCCCCAACGCTTGCCCAAGTAGGAGATAGCCTTGTGCGCTCTTCCGCACCCACGGGCTCTTCTCCGGGTCGTTCTCGGGGCGCTTCTCCGTTCCTTCCATCACCTCCAGCAGGTCATAGTGGTCAAAGATGTTCTCCATCTTGAAGGACCATTCAGCAAAGTTGTCACCGTTGAACTTGTCAAGCCCAAACACCCTAGGCTCATCCCTAGGTGGGCCAAGACTTGGTTGCATGGGCGCCATGGCTGAATCACGGGGTTGGCCTTGAGCTTGGGCTTCTCCACTGCCACCAGCAACTCTGCCACCCCTTTCTTCAGGTCCATCCATTGTCGAAACTGCTCCAAGGGGCTCTGATACCACTTGTTATAGTCACAATAGCCTTGAATGTGCCTAAAACGAAAGATAGAGTGCACAGACGGATTTCTGCACAGCGGCTTCAAACGTTGATAGCGTTCTGCTCACAGCTGCAAATGACTTGTTTCAAATTGGATCTGGAGCGTCTTGACGTCGCCTACAATAAGCAATTTAGATTGCACGATTTCATAAAGAATTGACGACACAGCGTCGGTTTGAACGAACAGTACTATGGCAGCCACTATAGTCTTAGAACACAAGATAGGAAGAGTTACGAGTTGGGAATGACTCCCAGCTCCTACAAACCCCAAGAGCCGAGGTACAGTGATGTGGAACAGTGCCACACTGTCCCCAACCACGAAGGGTCTCGAAACTACCCTCCACAAGGGCCTACACCAAGAGAAATGTTACACTACACAAAGTAATGCAACTATTCTCACTATCTTAAAGTTTACCCTTTTGGAGAGCTTCGAAATAACTTGAATCTTGAAACCAAGGCTCTGGTTCTTCAAGGTAAATTCTTCCTTGAGTTCTTGGAAGTCTGCTGCGCACACCTGCGACACGCCGAACGTTCCACACACGACAAAATAGAAAACCGCACACGACACGCAAACGACGACGTGACTCGCGACTAGCGATAACTCGCTATTGACTCGACGCACACATTCAAAATCATGCTTCATCATACACACACTATTGTGAACATGAAATATATATTATTTCATGCCCTCATACCATTCCATGCACACACGCATGCACGCACACGGACAACAAGCCGAATGCAAACCGTAGGGTTGCACCAACAGTACCCCCTCGTGGGTGAGGGGAAGGCCCTCAGGGAGCTCATTACCTTCGATCGGCGAGGAGGACCAGGCCGACGATTTTCGGAGGTTGCAGGTGAGGCCGTCCCGGGCTAGCAGCGGTGTTAGTACCTTTAGTGCGTCTAGCGTTGCTGTCGCCGGTCCAATCAGGGTGATGTCATCTGCGTATGCTAGGACTGTGACTTCGGGGTGTTCTGTTGCTACGCGTCCGAGGTGCTGCTGGATTGAAGCCGCGAATAGAAGGGGTCCAAGGGGGTCCCCCTGCCTAACTCCCCTAGCACTGGTGAGTGCCGTTGTGCTTAAGCGGGGATCGGTCAGCAACTGTGACGGCGTCGCATAGAAGGAGCGTGTGAAGGGAATGAGTGGGGCGAGCGGGGTGTTGGTGAGTGCGTTAAAGAACGCTATCCTCTCTACGGAGTTGAATGCGTTTTCGATGTCGAGTTGGAGGACTAGGCTTGATGGATGTGAAGTGGTGAGGTCTCTGACTGCGTGGATAACGAACTCGGCCCCGCCTGGGACTGCCACGCCGAATTGTTGGGGTAAGAAAAATCGCCTTGTTTCTCCTTGCAGTTCTGAGGGTGCAACCTTTGCTGCCAGCCGGAGCAGGGATTCTCCTATCGCTATAGGGCGTACCCCCCCCTCTGGTTTTGCGAATGCAATGAGGCGGGATGGCGAGAGTAGCGCTGCAACCTCGGTGGAGAGGTTTGTCGAGAGGAGGTGGGTTACGGCGGAGTGCAGGTGCCCTAGTACTTCGATGTTACTTAGGGCTGGGTCGCGGTAATGTTCAAATGTTGACCCAGATGGACCAGCCCCAACACCGCTGGGGCAATCCCCAAGAACGTTTGAGAAGTTTTCCGCGGTGCACGAAAATTGCGTGGGTGTTGTGTGGGAGTGGACCCAGTCGGGCAGGTCAATTTGGGGTTGGGGATGTTTCGATTCCAGCTGCTGTAGTGTCGCGGTTGTCGCAGGGGCTGCTGGCGAGGGTTGGAGGGCTGCAAGTGCTTTTCGCAGGTTACCCCGTTTCACCAGCCCCTCCGCTCGTGAGCAGATTCCCAGGGGGTCATTTTGGTGCTGAGGTGGTTCGGCTTGGTGCAGGGACCCCGTGTAGTCACTGTACAGCTGGTTCCAGTGGCCACATCTGAATAGGTGCATTTGTTCTCGCAGCACCTTCCACCTAGAGCTGGACCTCCTGCTAAGTCGTAGGGTCAGACGTGGCAGAAACATGAGGACCCGCCAAGCTCCCGCGCAGTTTGGCAGCTTGGAGATCCGTAGGAGCGCTGCCAGCATACAGGTGGAATAGTCGCTTAGGATCTGCGGCGGCAGGCGGCGGACGATAGGCAGGTGAGAGGTCGATGTTAGGGTGGACAAGTCCCAGCTCATCGCGATCTCAAAGAGATCGTCCCTCGATGCCAGCTGGGATGCTGAGAGGGCCTGGTCCAGGGAGGGTTGGGGTCTGCGGTTCTGTCGGCGGCCCAATCCTCTCTCCTGCAGCTGCGCCTGCTCCGCCCCTGCTCCCGCGCGGGGTGAGTCGAGATTGTCGGGTTGCCTCAGATCCGACGGTACATATTCGTCGCCACTCCCCTCTGCATTTGTATCGCCATTTCTCCCTGCTTGCGCTGTCCTTCCACCCCTCGCCCCGCGCCTGGCGAACGACTGGCGCGTGACTCGTTCCGCCGGCTCCCCTAACCAGATTGGGCTCGGTGGCTGGCGGGGGTTCCCCCTTGCCGCGTGGCCTGCGCTGCGCTGTACTCCGCGTGCTCCTCGACGCCCGCCTCTTCCCCGCGTGCTTCCCCGCCCGCTCCTTGGAGTGGCGGCCGCTGGTGCGGCCTGTTGCGCCTGGGAGATCGGGGTCATCGGCCCGTCCCGGGCCAGTGGCGCGCCTAGAGCGGAGGCCGATGGACTTCCTCGGTGCTCTGGGCTGTGACCGCGCCGTGGAGGATGATCCTGCTCCCCGTCCACTTCCTCCCGCGCGTCCTGCCGCGAGCGTGCCTGTTGCTCCGCCGGCGGCTGCGGACGAGATCCGTCGGCGTTTTGAGGATCAGCGTCGGGATCTGGGTCTGCTCGGAGGCGGATCCTTGCCTCTGGGGGAGCCTGCGCGTGTGGGGTCCGTCGCGCGCTCCGGCGCAGAGGCTGTGGCGCACCGGGGGCATTCGCCTCGCCATCGTTCGCCGGTGGCCCGCGACGGTAGGCGGGAGAGCCGCCACGACGACCGTCGCGCTGACTCGCGCCCGCCGCGGTCTCCGCGATCACCGCGGTCTCCTCGATCTCCTCGGCGCAAGGTGTCACGGAGCCGTTCCCGTGACCACCGCTCGTATCGCCACCGTTCTCCCGCTCCCCGCTCCTCTCGTCCGCGATCGCCTACTCGTCATGCGTCTCGATATCGGTCCTTGGCGCCACGTTCTCCCCCTCTTGCGAAGCGCCAGCGGCTCTACTCTCCTCGTCGCACGGAGCGTTCCTCTGACCGCCAGCGTCAGCGGGGCCTGTCTCGCCCACAGTCGCCTGTGCGTTCGAGCGCGAGTGGGCGTGCGCATCGTGGGCGACGGGGGGGTTACGGTCGCGGCGGGGCTGCGCGTCCAGCGCTTTCCGCGATGGAGCAAGTCCTGAAGAAATTGGACGGTGTGGAGAAAGCTCTCCACCGCTCCCATGCGGGGTCGTCCTCGCAATCTGCTCCTCCTGCTGCTCCAGTCGATCCTCTCGCCGCGCTCTTGCCCCATAATCCTGTGGGATCCCCGGCGCGCTCAGTTCGTCCGCTGCCTGCGGGGACTGGCTTTGTTGGCGCGGGTGGCGGGGACCCGTGGGCCCAGTTCGCTCCGCCACGTCCCCTCCCTGCTCCTCGTGATCTGGCAGTGTCGGCTCGCCGATCTCGCGCGTCTGCATTCCCCCCGCAGATGAAGCCAGTGCCCACGGCGACCCTGGCGCACTTGTGGTCGTTGGCGGAGTGCCTGCAGAGCCTTGAGCTGATTCTCCAGGAGTCGCATGGCTCCATGTTGGAGACCCCGCCGAGCACGTTCTCTCAGATGCCGCGAGCAAGGTGTCACGCGGCGGCGTCAGCATTATTCTCGTTCGTATCGCCACTGCAGGTCGCGCCCTCGCCGGGAGTAGTCTCGGCCACCCTGCTGGCTGAGACGGCCCTGGGTCTGAGGACCCTTGTAGCAACTCGTGGAACTCCTGTTGACGTTGTCGGTGCCACCGCGTCAGTGGTCCGCCAGATGTGGCTGACCACGCGCGAAATGCTTGGTGAGCTTGAGGCGGACCGCATGTAGGCGGCCCCCTCGCGCGTGTGTAGACCCGTTCCATGGTAGCTTGTCTAGTTGTCGTTGTCTGCCATGGTTGTCATTTTTGCCGTCATCTAGCCGTCCTTGTCGTCCCACCGTTATTGTCCTTGTCGTCCCAAGCGCGCGGCCGCAGGCCGCGCCCGCGAGCGCCGGCGCGAAGCGCCGGAAAAATCAGAGACACCAAATGAAGAATGAGCTGGAGAGAAGGCCAAGGGGCCCTTATATAGCTGGGGAAGAGAGGGGAAGAGCCTAGGAGGGAAGAGACTAAGTCACTTGCTTCTCTCTCTCTCGCTTTCTCGAACGAACCGGAAAAATCAGAGACACCAAATGAAGAATCAGGGAAGAGACTAAGTCACTTGCTTCTCTCTCTCTCTCTCTCTCTCTCTCTCTCTCTCTCTCTCTCTCTCTCTCTCTCTCTCTCTCTCTCTCTCTCTCTCTCTCTCTCTGCCTTTCCTCCTGTCCCCAAATGTCAGCTGTGTTTTTCAGAGACTGCCAGAAAGCATGGGGAAAAGCGCTCCCAGGTTGGGCCGTGGGTGCTAACTGTAACGCGACTAAACAACTCGCCTGCGACGATTTAGGCATGATTACCAGGATGTAAGTGTGATAATGCTCCATCGAGGATGGATTGGACCCCACACAAGCTGCCAGTGTCTTGCTTTGATGAATTTCTGCGTGCATTGGTGGGATTTGCCCCTTGTCTATTTCCAGTTCGTGTCTCTGTCCGATTTCCTCAACTCTTCACTGCTTTGAACCCTCACCCACCCCACATAGATCTCTGACGGCGAATCTGAATGGGTCTATTCCTGACAGCATCTCCTCTCTCACTGCACTAATTGAACTGTAAGAACCTCACAGTGAAACTATGAGCTCGCCTTCTTTTATGCTTAGCTAGTCGAATTACAGCGGATCAAGGCAGCTCTGTAGAGAAACACATTGACTCGCGTCGGTGAACGATAACAACAAAAATGCCTCACGACTGTCACATGTAAACGCCTGGTTGTTGCATCCGACAAAATGCAATGGTATGAAATCCCAATGCCATTACTTTTCACCCCTTCAAAATATTTTTTTTCTTCCTCTCCCATTCAGATTTCTTCTCCCATCTGAATGTCCTCACCTCAACCCTTTGTGCCCCTTATTCTCTCGCACTTCTCATGTCTTGTTTTCCTCTGAGTGCTACACAAAGCTTGCCACCATGCTTGCACAACCATCCTCTTGGGTTGCTGGTGTGTGCTTGCTGTCCCTCTGTCCATGCCCACCATTCTCATTTCCAAGCTTATTTTGTTCGTCCCACCACCCACATAGGACTTTCTCCAACAACAAGTTGACGGGCTTCATTCCCAACGGCATCGCCAAGCTTTCTTCTCTCACACACCTGTATGAAGCACCTCGTTTCACCGTGGTGGTAAGCGCGGACATGTTCAAAGATCGCATGCATTCTACAACCCCTCAGAAAATATTCTGAAGCACATGACGTGGATGCCACACGCTAGGGTTGAGCAAGGGCCGAACCAGGTGCGGCCCTGGTCGAACCAAACCGAGCTGGCCACCAACCCGGGTCAAATCTGGTTCGGCCCGCCCCGGGCTGGACGGGCAGATTGGCGGTTTGGTTCGCCCATGTACAGGGCGGGCCGGTTCGAGTCCGGCCTGGGGTATAATCACAGGTGAAATTTATGTTTAGGATTCTTAGCCCTAAAACGAGAAGCCAAGTTGCTAGCTACAGGTTCTGTAATCCCTAATTCGCAATGCGGACGGAAGCTGGTTGATTATGAACACCAAATGCGACGAACCGGTTTATTTCGTCGAGGCGCGGGATATACCCATAATTGAACTGGAACGAACTGCCGAACTGTATCGTTAATCGAACCGGTTCGGTCCGTTCACGAGCCGACAGCCTTAATAGAAGTTCGGTTCGGTAAAAAACGAACCGAACTGCGGTTCGGTTTCTTGCTCATGCTTAACTAGATCTAATAAGTTTGACCAATGTCGGATGCTCAGACCTGAAATGGTTTGGTGTGCTCAATGGTTTGGTGTGCTCAATGGTTTGGTGTGCACAATGGTTTGGTGTGCTGGTTTGGAAGCTTAGATTCAATGTGGTGGAGGTTCAGCTGGGATGCGAAATTTGGTTAAAACCTACGGGCCAAGTTATTCAAGCTTAGGAAGGTTGGTTGGGAGTGAGGACGGTATTCGCCCGCGAGCCAATAGGGAGTGTCACAAATGCTGGCCTAGGTCTTAGAACTCGGGAATAAGCACAGGCGTTTTTGGGACACCCAACCAACATTAGGAAGGTTGAGCCAATTTTGGCCTTCTTGACCCACGGGTTTTAAGAGTTATTGCTGGAGAGATTGTTGGGGTGCGGGGTAGGCATTTCAACTTCATTGAGCTACGATTTGCGTCTAGATTGAGCTTAGAGACAACTGGAATGAGCTTCAACGTCCAATGTCGCGGGCCTCCATGCATGGTCCCGTGCGACAAATGACGCGCACGTCCTAATTGGGTTGTACCCCTTGTAGGCTACCCCACTACAGCCTACACAAATGTATAAGCTATAATGTTCTGACACACCCCCATAGGCAAAGTGGGGGAGAACAAGTGGTCACAAGACCAGTCATGAAAAGCAAAGCAAGCTCAGGGTGGATCACAAAGTCACCACACAGTCTGAGCACAAGCAAAGGGCCACAAGGCCAGTTCACATGCAGAGTTATATTAAGAGAACAAACAATACAGTGATCATACCCTAGCAAGTGCAAGCATGCAGGTATATATATATATCACAGTACAAGCAGAGTCAAGCAGTAAGTATGTGAGACAAAGTGGGCACAAGGCCTAACGGAGTAGCAAAGCGCTGATGATCACGTGCCATAGGCAACGCCCCACTGCTCCCCTCATTGCCGAAGGCCGACTTCGACGTCAGCTCATACAGGTTGGCTATGAGGGGTGGGGCAGGAAGAGCAGGGGAAGGGGGAGGAGGGAGGACGTCCTCAGCGTCCTCATCAGCAGGCTCGTCAGCCTCCAGGAACGATGAGAGTGTCACCGTCAAGGTGTCCGTCGGCGGGTAGCCTGCGTCCGTCCCGACGCGGGCCCGTGCTCCGACTTCCTTACCTCCAGCGACATGGTCTCGTAGAACACCAAGTCCGACATGGTGACCAACTTGTTGTCGGTGAGGTCGAGGACCTCCCAACCCTAGCTCTCCTCCGACACGCCAAGGTGAAGGCCCCGCCTGACCTTCGGGGCCAACTTCCCGCCACGCGACTGCTCGGGGACCAAGAACTGCACCATGCAGCCCCACACGCGTGCCATCATCAAGTTGGGTTTCTTGCCAGTAAGAAGCTGGTACGGCGTCGTTCCCGGCGGCAGCCTCAATCTCTCCAAGCAATTGCACACCCAGACGGCCTGCCATAGGGCGAGCTGCCACCAGTATTGCTGCACGCCCATATGCAGCAGCATCGTCCGCACGGAATCGACGACCGTCCGCATCTCCCGCTCGGCCATTCTGTTCTGCTGCGGGGTGTACGGGCAGGTCAAGTCGTGGACGATGCCCTTGCCGTCCACGAAGTCGGTGAACTGCTTCCCGAGGAACTCTCCTCGCAGTTTGAGCGCAGCATCAGCACTGACGTCTTCGTCTGCCGCTCACCCACCAGCACCCACTTCTCAAACCCCCGCAGCACGTCGAACTTCTTGGCAGCCACCCGGAATGGCCCGCACAGGCTGATGTGCACAACAGCCAGGGCGTCGTCGGTGTCTGAACCCTTGTCGGGAAGGTATGCCGCGCCAGCTTCCCGCCGATGTAGGAAACACATGGCAAGTCGGCGCTGGCCGACGGCTTGAGGTCCAGGCCTGTGGGGACCTCGTGCTTTGCTGAGCTTGTGATGGTGTCGACGCCGGCGTCTGCAAGCCTCGCGTGCCACCTGGCCGGCGTCGACTTGCTCGGTAAAAGTCGACCAAAACCTGTACGTGCTTGTCGACCACACAAGTCGACGACCACCAGCCGACTTCACCAAGTCGGCCACTCCTCAGGTCGACCAACTCCAGGTTGACCACACTGGCTGTTCGCCGACTGCACCAAGTCGGCTTCTCTAGGTCGGTGCCCACAAGTCGGCGCCTCTCCCAGGTCGAATTTGTCAAGTCGACCTCCCAAGGTTGGCGCCCTCCTAAGTCGGCACCCTTCCCAGGTCGACAAGCCCTGTCGTCGACCACCATTAGAAGTCGGCCGCCGGCTTCCCATAGTCAGCGGCTTCACAGTGGCCCGGTGTAGGTCAACCAAACCCGTCGACCAGCTCGCCCACGTCGGCGTCGTCCACTGCAGTTGGTCGGCTGCACTTCCCGTACACCCAAACACGAAGTCGGCTCCGCCCAAGCGAGGACGGGGCCAACACCCAACTCCCGTTGATAACCCTTCCCTCTCACGCCTCCGCCTCATGTCTAGGTACGGTCTTGTGTTAGATCTCCGGTCCTTGCTTCGGCCGCTCCCTCCTTACCTGCACCGCTGTCCACTCCTTGTGTCAAGGGTCGGCTGTGTGCCACCCCTCACTCCTCCTCCCCTGCACCTACCTCTGCACCTTTCCAAACTCTGCACTTGGATGTCTACGGCCCCTCCCGGGTCACTAGGTCAGGCGGCAAGAGGTTCTTCCTCGTTGTTGTGGATGACGTCTCCCACTACACAACTATGTTTCCTCTACAGCAGAAGGCCCACGTGCCTGATGCTCTATAGGAATCTCCTTGCCTCAGGCTGTTCTCCTCTTATTGACACCTCTCTTCTTGGTCCCTGCTTGATGGCTTCCTGCTAATCAGTGGTACACTCTCTGTCTCCTCACTTGCCCCCTCCTCAGTGCCTTGCCTCCAGGCTAGCCGATGGACGTCCTTGAGGCGGGACGGAGGTGTCTCGATTACCTGCCCCTCTTGGGTTGTGCTGCTGCCATGTTGGTTATGTGGTCCCTCCTTTCCTCCTCCTTCTCACTCACCAGTACTACCACTCCTGACTCTTTTAC